GCAACAAATTGGAGTAAGGGCTATTTTTACCCTCCTGCCTCTGGAGAGGGTTTTGGGGGGCCTGTAGGCAGACATATGCTCTGCCTGGGTACTGGCAGCCTCCTGCTACACACCAAGGCTGGATGCTTTCTCAGTGGCCTTTTGCTTACACCAGGATGAGGCCCTCAAGAGATCTTGAGAGCAATTGTTGGAGCTGCTGGTGCTGTTCATCCAGGTGAGTTTCCTCTTCCCCTCAATTTCTTTGCTGCCTTCTTGGAGAGCAGAGCTCAGTGCCTCTTGTTTTCCCATCAGGAAATGAGCTGAGGTAGTGGTGGTTCCTCGTGGTTCCCCAGGAATGGATACATTTGCAAACCAGTAAGGTAACAGAACAGTAACATCAAAATGGAGAGGTGTAGAAAGTGTAATTGTTACTTAAAAAAAAAAAAAAAGTATTTGTGGAAAATATGAGTATTTACCAAATTAGTAGAATTTTCCCCCCATACCCTATAATGGAGAACTTTACGGTTGGAATTCTGAAGAAATTAAAATATTCCAAAACCTTAACTTCTTTGAACATGGGAGGTCCTGAATAAATCCCAGAGGAACTGGAGTCCCAGCACAGTGTTTTTGAGGACACCTAACGTCAGTGGAATCAGTGCTAGACAGCCAACGTCTTCCCTTTCCCCTTTGCTGCTGGGCCCAGCATAATTTCTGGTGGCTGCAACTCTTCAGCCCTTATCCTTTCTGCCAGGGAAATAAGTTGTGTGTGTTTTGGCAAGAAAGGCTGTCAACCCAGCCCCTGCAGGCTGTGTGACTGGCTGGGGTGTCCCAGCAGCAGCAGGCGCAGCAGGTGCCCTCCAGAGCATGTGCCCAGCAGCAGCAGCTCTCTCCAGGGCTTGTTTTTATTAGCTGAGGAACTGGGGACAGCAACAGGGGCTTTAGCTGGGTTTACAAACCAGAAAGGTTTGCACTTTGGGTCTATGTTATCTAGCAGGATTAGCAAGCCTCAGCGTTTGGTGCAGTGACATTTCTCTGTTTGTTGTGTGATTGATCTTGTAAGGGCCTTTCTAGTCAATACCAAAATTTCCAGGATTTATCTTAATACCTAGGACAGATGGATCCTATTGATTTGAATGGAAGCTGTGGAGAGGGGATATATCATGAGTTCCTTACAACTGTTTACAGAGCAAACAGTTTCCATCTGCTCTCTCCTTTATTGTAAAGCAAAGGCAAAATTTAACTCAGCTGCAAAATTTAACAGGTGACCATCCTGTACATTAGAAGCACGTCACATCAGTTATTATCCTGCCTGGCTCTGTTTGACCACACACAGTTTAGTCAGCATCTGTGGAGTTCTGGGGTCTCCCCTTATGGCTCTGAGGTCTTCAGGCCATACATTTACAAGGGAATCTCTCAGCCAGGAGGGGCTTCTGCCTTACCTCCTACTCTCCATGCTCAGAAAAAAAACAGTACTCACATACACATCCCAGGCAACATTTTTTTTTCTCCTGTTTATTTCAAAAGTCTTTGTCACCTGGAATTTGACATCCTCCCAGATGTACAGAATTCATACTCGACCATGTATCACAGCATTAAAACACACAGTAAGGTTCCCCAAACACCATCAGTGGGTTCTTCCACAGTGTCATTAGCCACCAGCTCTAAGAATCCTTCCCCAGCACCTCTGCACTGCTTTGCAATGTGGCTGCACATCAGCTGTCTCTGCCTCCTAGGTCTATAACCATGCTTCTGTGAATGAAGGGGTGCCAAGCCCAAAATACCCATTTTTGTTTGCAAATTGTATATAATGTACCAGTAGAAATGTGATCTGTATCTAATTGGCTTTGTATATGGCTTTTAGTCCTCTTCATTCAAAGATCTTATAGCGGAAAAATCCTGAGCTGACATAAAAAAGGGGACTGATTCATCAAAAGCACTCACAATTACGGTATGTGTTGGAGGCAAAGTTCCTGTCAACCCAGAATTAAAGCATTTTAAAAATTGCCACTTGTTTAAACAGATTTCAGTCTTGAAATTTATTCCAGTTTAATGTTCTGCCAGGAAGCATCATCTGAAAGAGAGTAAAAATCTATGTTTTCTAATCACCAATTTACAGGAACTTATGCTTCTTCATTTTACCGCTTGACTTGATAAACACAACTGAAATTGTGCTGGAAAAATGCATCCATCTCCTTTTGACTTCTAGCAGGCATTTAAAAGTCATCATATCTGTTTAATTGGGCTATTTATTACCTGCAATTTAACTAAGTTACTCCAGATTCAGGTAACAGCAGCACTTGCTTCTTAGAGCATATCACCTCTTTTGGCTTATTTAGGTAATCTCTGTATAGTTCAACTCTTTGGGAGAATGCTGAGTGATGCTGGGCACTGGGACCTGCTGCAACTGTTTCTGGCTGGCAAAATGTTATTTTTTCTGACCAGTGCTCAGCTGAAATTCCTTTTGGTTGTTACAAATGTCCCTGGCTAACACCCATATGCAACAGCGGCAGTAAAAAGCTTGTGTAAGATTTGCTGCCATCCTCTGATTTCAGTACCAGTGATGAGAAATGTCCCCAGCAGTGTAAAAACAGCAGCAGAAACTGGTTCAGCAAGTGCTGCAGCTCTTGGCAGGGCAATGTCCAGCACCCCAACCACCAAGCTTCTCCCACTGCTGGAGAAGCGTCTGGCTGCTGTGGACAGTGGCAGCTCTGCTCACAGCTTTTGCATGTGAGATCCTCACCACCTCATTTAGGATTATTTTGCTTCTCTGGTATGTTGGTATTGGGTGTTTGGTTTTTTTGTTTGAGTTTTTTGTTTCTTTTTTTTTTTTTTTTGGAAAAGCCACGACCACTTGAAGGTCAGCTGTCAAATGGACTGAGCGATCAGTGCAGGAAAATTGAAAATCATGACATCTTGTGTGTAGGCTGTGAATAATGGGCAACACTCTTTTGATCATTAAAATAGAAAATTATCTATTTTCCAACGTTTTTAGTCCATTAAGAAGGCAGGGATATGAGCACACTGCTGATGATTTGCACTGGTCTCCTGGCAGTACAATCACAGGGTCTGGCAGTGGGATGGATCCCACACCAGGGGAAACTTGGCCAGAGGAGGCAGCTGTGGATTGCCATGACATTCAACTCCTCTCCAAAAATGACAGACACCTCGAGGCAGATCCATTTTCTACTGGGGACTGGACTACTATTCATGGTCTCTGGACCATGGACATGTTTAAATCTGTGGACAGAGGCAACTCCATCCCTGAGTGCTATGCAGACCAAGGCATGGCCTCAAATACGTTTTGCTTTCATACAGATGAAGAAAATACAAGCCTTGCCTGCCCTGGTGCTGGCAGAAACCCAGGCTTTACCCCAAGGTACAGGTGCAGAACGCTATTGTAATTTTGTGGTGCATGCCTGAGCTTTGGGGCCCAATTGTATATTTTAGCACCTTACTTTCTGTTCAGAGCACCACTTCTTCTGTTGTTTCACTATACTTGTAGGATGGTAAGACAATTTTCCCTTTTTTTTACTGATAAAGATCTCTTAGCAGATATAACCAGCCCTTGGTAATTGATTCATCTTGCAATATTTATTTATGCTGTCATCCTATGAAAGTCTAAACAAATCTATCCATTTTATGAGGAAAGTAGATCACAGGAGGATTACTGCTTTGCTGATGCAGAGGGGGAATGTAAAATGAGTTGATAACTGCACCTGTGTCCCAAACACTCCAGTTCCAGGAAGAAACCAGGGTTCAAAGGTGGCCAGAAACAGTCTAGCACAGGCTATATGCACAGCACTTCGCTGTGCTTCTCAAGAGAGGCTCAGTACAACGTCAGTCTTCTTTTTCCCTTTTTTCTTTTTGCCTTTCCCCGTATTTTTGTAGGTTGGTAATTCAAACAGCACAGCTGCTGTCCCTGATTCAAGGGCAGGGGCAGGTGTGTGCGTTGCCTAAAGACAGGGACTGTCCTTAGGAGCAGCAGCAGACTGGGGTGATGGTAAACACCTCCTGAGGCACAACAAAAGGGACTGCCAGCACCACCCAGCCAAGCTGCTTTAACCACCCCAGTGCCAACTCCCAGCCATCAAACCAACCTACAAAGGAACATCTTTGAGTATCAAGAGTCAGTACATTGCCCTTGATGCTGTAGCTGTGTACTCGAGGTCTTTTTGATAAAAGTGGTTAGCAGCAAGTAGAACCCCATGATTTACATTTCTTTGCCTGAACTGGAATTACATTAGCATGCCCTTGGTTTGCAATTGCCAAACAGGTACAAATATTTAAGGTTTTGAAGGTTTATACATGCAATTCTGTTTGCAGCAGGCAGGCAGGCTCGGTTTTAATCCCTTCAGAAGCTCTATTCATAGGAATTAATGCACAGCACAGGGCATTTTCCAAATGGGATTTACATACTTCTGACTAAGAATTTGAAAAAAAATTAGATAAAATGGGCAAATGAAACAGGAAAGTCTTTTTACATAAAACTTAATCTTTAGCATATTTCACTGGATTTCTGTTGGTAGGAAAAATATTGTTTACTAATTTCAACCATGATACACAATTTATACTCAGGATTTAGATTTTACAAAACAATTTTTAAAAGAAAAATATTCATAAGAGTGACTAATTTTTGGTGTGATTGGGAACATCTGCTGGATATTTTGCTGGTGTCAATATTTCATCTATTTGTAATTAATACAAAAAGGAAAGAGATACCAACCAGAAAACAGCACAGAACTGATCACTGTTTTATAATTCAATGTAGAAGTGAGCAAATACCAAAACCAGTGAAATAAACTGCAGAAGTAAAACTACTGAGGCTTGTAATAGGAAACAGTAATGCCAGCTCAGTTAAAGATACCTACTAAGCTGTGCTCTTTTAAAAAGAAATAAAATAAACAGGAATGTTTTTTGAGCATGTATCTTGAGACTTGAATAACTGAAATCAGCTGGAACTTTGGAACTAATATTTTTGCAGAGTACTCAACAAGGCAGTATTCCAGTGAGCTAAAAATGTGTTTGTATAAGTAGAATAGTACTTTTTATTTTTGTAAATAAACAATGTTTACACACACAATCCCTCCCCACCTCCAACAATCTGCAAACCATTTTCAGATGTGCTTTCAGATACTGAGGTTTTAAAATAAAACTGGAACTGAATTATTGCACTGCCTGTGCAGTCTATTGATGTTACCACAAGCAAAAATTTTCTGGACATAATTTTACTTGCATGGAATAGGAAATTATACCCATTGAGAAAACTTGGCTGTTTGATTTGCAGAGTCAGAAATAGCAGTAATTTTTTTCTCATTGTTTATTGTATGTTATAAAAGCATTACTTTTGCATTGACTCACTGGCTTCAAAAAGTACTGTTACATCTTGCAAAGTATAAAAGGAATACGGGAACACCTTCGTATTTCTTAAGACTGTTTGATAAAGCACCACCTGCTGGAGAGCCCAATCCTGAAGACACATGGGATGATGATGTTACACAATTTTAAACCTACCTGCATCCCATGCTGAGCCTGGGCTTGGGAGCTGCCTGAGACACACCTGGATCTGACTTTAGACCTCTTTTTGGCTATGCAAACTTTAGGGCAATTGCATTTTCTTTTTGATGGTTTAAAGTCTTATTCTAATTACAGAGTGGATGTTACCTATTTAATAAACAAAAAGAGAAAGAAAAAAGGCATGTGTCTTTATTGGTAGCCACAGACTGTGGCTGTGTAAACTGAAGTAGTCCTTCCTCAGTGCTGTTGCTGTACATCATATTTATCATGCATAATGAACCACTTACTGTGTATGTACTAATATGCATATCCTTTTGTGGAATCTCAGTGGAATTGTCCATTATTTTCTACAATGTAGTTTCTGTTTCCTTAGCATTCATGAAAGCAGAATTTGAGCTCAAATATGGACATATTCCCACACACAAAAAGAAATTGCATATCGGTTGTACAATGAGCAATGCACAGTTCATTAGTTATTTTGTGTGAGTCAAGTATTAATTTGCCCTAATTGAAGTTATTATGTAACATAGCATTTATTGTATTATTTAAATATAGCATTGCAAATGTGTACTGGTTTGGAAAGGCACATTAGTAATCCAATTAGAGCAGAAGCCATACCCATAGATTTGCTAGCAATCAGCAAAATACGGTTTTGTTTAGATTAGCTCCAAACATTCATTGCAATGATTTGTCACTGAATATTTTTCAATTTAAAGGCTGGAAAAATACTAAGAAGTGAGAACGGTCTCATTGCTACAGCTAATTTTCATATAATCATAAATTCATCCCACATAAGCAATCAGGTTTATACCGTGCCTACATACCTGGCTATATGACCTCCACTACTGCTATAAGTCTGTCTGTCAGTAGCAAGCTAAGACATGACTGAAATATGGGTGAATGGTCATAATATACCCAAATTTTCACCCGCAGAAAGCTGGGGAAGAGAAAAGCCTCAGGACCAGGGCTGAGGACACCATGGTCACAGAGAGCTTTGGTGTGATTCTCACATCTCTCCTGTCTTCCACCAGTAATTCTGGTTGCAAACAGAACTCCTAATTGGGCTGCCAACTAGCATGTACATAGCAAAGAGGCACAAATACCCATCTTGCATTTTCAGTTGTGCCTCCTGCTGCATGGCCCCAACCACTGCCTAAAGAACATTTATATGTCTTGCTAGCAGTAATGGGAGTTACTTGTGCAATGCTTCTTCTGCAGGGAGACAGGCAAACTGCAGCCTCGTCCTTCAGAAACTTCCATGTGCGGCTGAGGTCACTCAGATTACTTCTCTGAACATCTATATGGTCTGAAGGACGTCCTTCCTTATTGCAAGCAAATAAAAAGCGATCTAAATTTTTTGCACAAAATGAGAACTGTGCTTTGCAGATGGGAAGAAACCAAAGAGAAACAGATGACATCTCAGTGTGACTCCAAACTTTGTCCAAGACACAAACAGGGAAGACAAACCCCAAGAAGTGAATGTAGTGACTTGCCACATGCTACAGGTTTCACAAGAAACTATTCCTTGTAATTGTTCTGCCCTGAGCTCAACGGGAAAGAGAAGATGCTGCTTGGTCATTGTCCCTCATTAATTTTCACCTAAATTTTAATTTTCATCTGCAAGGTATTAGCACATGTGCCAGGTGAACTCGGTATCTCCTTTGTCTGACCAGCTCACACCTGTGCCATCACTGGTCTCACTAAGGGCTGGCTCACAGAGAAGTCCCAAGTCCTGTAGCTTTCTGCTGCTCCTGAATGCTCTTCCCTGGGCAAAGGCATCAAAAGACTAATTTGGGGCATGGGGTCTGAGCTCAGGTCTGCACTGCCTGTACAACTTCTCAGCAGGCAACTGGGATGTCTTGGTCTGTGCCAGCTAGGAGTCACTGCTGCTGTTCTGCAGGGAGGGCTGCGGGGGTTGTATCAGGGAAGATGAACTTTTAAATCCTAAGTTAATTGCATTCTTTCAAGGCTATCCAAAAATAAAACCTAGAAAAAAAGAAACATTTCAAGAATGTAATACAACTCCCAAATTACCTGAAAAGAAAGTGCAATCTAGTGCAGTGTGCTTTCACTGTCCCACTCTGTTCCTTCAGTTTCCTTCTGATTTCTTGTGCTTCAGCCTGTGTCCAGGTATTGCTGGTATCTGCTTTGTCTGTGAAAACGAAATACCAGGAGGAATTGCACTTGGTGCAATTGGTGCATGTTTAGGGGTTAATTCACAAAAGGAGCAGGTTGCCCCAGGGAATCCCGAGCTGGACCATGCACAATCAAAGAGGAGTTAGGTGCCCACGTCTGGCAAGTTTAAAGAGGAATTGTCATTAAGAAAATGCTAAAGGAAGAGCACAAGGGACTACGAATGACTGATCTCAAATCTCCTATGTCCTCTTGGCTCAGGTACTCATGCACAAAGGTGATGGGTGCCCAGGTAGTGTTAGCAGGCTAAAGAGTAGAGACTTGGAGCTTGGTTTTCATGCACCCTTGAAAAATACTTCAGCCACTGAATATGAGGGAACTGTAAGGCCACCCTTTGTCAGATGCTGCCCAGTGAGACCCAGCTCACTAACTTTGCTCTGACCCTCTCATAAACTGGCTTTGCTGAGCCAGATGGGGTTGGGGATTTTTACAGGGCTTAGATACAAACTGGGGGTCCCTGTGGTTGAGCTGTATCAGCTTCTAGGGATATGTGCACTGCAAGAAATAGGGGCACTGGTAAACAACTGGGCATGCACTTTATATGCCTCTGAGGCTAAGGAGAAGCAGGATGGAGTGTATCAAGGATCTTGGGAATAAATAAACATTAGACCTAAGTGCATAGAGCAGCAATCAGATGCTCAAATCCCTTGAGAAGCCCAGCTGTAGGACCTGGTCCAACTTCCCCTGGGGTCAACAGGAACTGCAAAGGGTCCTGCAAAGGTACCACTGTAAACAATGGTACCAGACAGACTCAGAAACATTTAAATCATGTTACAACAGACTGCCTTTGCCTAAATGCAGAAAAAGTACAGAGGAGGTATGTACAATTTCATATTACATCACTGTATTTCCCAGGCAGGAATAGGTAGTTTGACAACAACTTACAAACATTTAAACAGGACCCTAATTATGGTTATATTTATCCTTTAAAAACAACTTACTGAAAAACCCCCCACCTTAATTTGCAAATTTTTCCCCACAGAGTTCTTCAGCTCACAGAATGTTAATGAATTTGAACATGGTTTTATGAGCAAAATAACAAATTCTCCTGTGGCTTGGGGTCCTATCTATTCAAACTCCTTAGTCCTTTGGGACAGAGCCCATCTGCCTTGATTTATACAACACTTCACAGAGTGGGGCTCCTTCTAATGAGTAATAGTCCTCATGATGGCAAATGTACCAAGATAGAACCCTGAGAGTCTAGCTGCAGAAAGAGAGCAGGGTCTCATTCACACTTTTAATTAACGAACACATAAACCATCATAGTTATTTACCTGTAGGGGTAATCCCAAAGGAAAATAACAAATTTTCATTCTTTTGGTTCCCTGCCTCTGCTGTTTCCAAAGATGTCCCTGGCATCTCCAGAAGGCGCCTCCCTGAAATGGGTCTTTCAACTTCTGCAACCAGTCTTTGAGTCTTCTCCAGACCATGACCTGCCCCTACACAGCCTGCTTAAATTTATCCCTCAGTGGGCTTCAGGTTGGGATCACCAAACACTTTGAACTCTTCCTGTTTCTTCAAAGAGCAGGAGTGCACAGACAGGAAGGCACTCTGACGCGTGGACCTTGGGGAGTCTCCCTACCATCAAGAAAGCTCCTGCCTCTTGAATGCAGACTCTACTATACCACATAATCTTAAGTGTGAGTCTGTGTCAGGTAGAAAGAGAACACAATCATCACTGCCTGTTTCTGGCCAAATGCATCTTGACAAAAGCTGTGACTATGTTTAGAGTGTGATACAGATCCATGTGTGATGGTTTATCTGCTGCTCTGATTCCTTTTCGTCAGGAAAAAGATACAATCATTGCCATACTTCAGCTGGCAGGCTCAAGTGTGCAAAACCTCAAATTAAAAGTTAGTTTTCCAAGGTTAAATTCCAAAACATTTTGCACCACTACAAATTTAAAGGAAAGCAAAAATGATGGCTACCCCAAACCCAGGCAAAGCAAAGTAAGTAAACAACAGAGTAAAATATCTATATGAAACTTCATGGAAATATTTTCAATCATTTCTAATATTCCCAGTTTGTTTTCATCAGCTTCTTCAATTTATTCAGTGACCAACCTAGTTACTCATGGTCTTGCCTACAACTTCAAAAGAAGTTTCCAAGAGCAGGTCACTGTGGCTCAGAATATAAGCTCAAGTTTTGTTTCTTGCCTGGAATCAGCAGAAGCCTTTTAATTAACTTCACAGCATAGTAGAGAGAATTTAGAGAAATGATCCAGAGCTGTGCATGTATTTCAAAAGAGATTTGCAGCAATTCCTCTGCACCCATTTGTTATGCTGAACTAGACACTCCAGACCAGGTTTGCTTCTGGTTTTTCAGTGGTTTGGGCTAGTGCAGGTTAAATATGGCTTAAGATGGTAGCAACAGCCAAAGGCCAATTTATGACTTCACATCAGCATTCTGGGGGAAGCCAGCTTTCGGGGGGAACTCCAAAGTAGTGCTCTTCTGTATAACCTACACAGTCAGATTTGTGGGAAATAAGTACAGGGCTGGAGCCCTCAAAAAACTGCAAGAAAATCATTTGCATGAATCTCTGCAACAGTATTGCAGAAGCAAAAGATGCAAATTTAGGACAACAGAGAGCCTGGCATTCATTTTAGTGACTTATTTTAATGTGAAAGTAATGAAATAAGCATTTCAGTGGTGATGCAAACATTTGATACCAGAGGTGCATACTGGCTTCTCTTGCACTACATGAAGTCAGTACTGAAGATGACAATTGCCTGTTTCCAGTTATTCAGTAGGCAGAAATAGTTTTGCACACTTTGATACGGTCCTTGATAACCCCCTGACTTTTATGAGTTAGGTGGCAGGCAGTCTTTCAGACATGACTGGCTAAAACCCATAATTTGTATGAGGGGAATCCAGCCCATTCAATCCTCTGCTGTTGAAGTCAGTAGGGTTATTGAAGGGAAGCACAATCACACTAAAGGTGGTGTGGCAGCCATCACCTACATGTGTGTTACATACAGGCCTTGCTGTGAGGAATTGCTGAAGAGCATCAAGCACAAAGCTCAGGGCCAGATCCAGACTTCAACAAACTGTGAGATACTGGTTTAATCAAACCTTACCAACCCCATGTTTGAATATGGAGCCAAACTTGCCCTCAACGCATTTTAACACAGAGTTTGGGTTTAGGCTCTGTTCTGAAGAACAGGCTGGTATTGACACCATCCTAACCATGCACACCATCCTTCTGTAACTGCATCAGATTCTGCATCAAAGACATCCAAGTCTCTTCCAAAAGACCCTCAGGGGAAAACTGTAACATAATGATAAATATCTCAATGCATATTAGAGAAAACTTATAAAACCCCCAGAGACTAAAATGCTGAACGCCCAATGAATACCAAGGCTGTGTCTGAATTTAAAACTTTCCAGTAGCTTACAATGATAATTCCAGCCTAGTCACCATTTCGTTTTTATTAGAGAAACAAAAGGAATTTCAAAAACTCTACCTAGAATCACTCGTTTCTGCCAAGCGGTTGTTCATGATGGCCAGAGCACCCACCCCCGCAGAGAAACCGTTTTGTCTCGTATTGATACAAACATTCCTCGGGTAGCCGTTGGCCGTCTCGGACAACTGCTTTTGCAAAATGGCCAGGGAGACTTTGTTGGACGCCGTGAGCTCCCTCATGGAGATCATCTCTCCAGAGAGCCTCCTCCCCTCGGTGTCACTGTCGTACTGTCCATCAGTGTCCACTGAGATGTTCTGTCGACGCAGGCGGGCTCCGGGGGTGATGGCGTTGCGACGGCTGAGGCGGGTACTTGATTTATGGCACTTTGGGCAACATCTGCATTCGAATTTTTTCAACACCCAGTTCAAAACTTGCTTGATTACAATTGAAATGACATTAAAAAGAGAGTATATGCAACATACCCCCATAAATATAAATACAAAGTTTCCGAATCTGTATAATCCCTGATTTTGGTATGCAGCGTTCTGGCTGCTTACCAAATCTCCAAAGCCGATGGTGCTGAATGTGACAAAGCAATAGTACAAGGAATCAACGTAGTTCCATCCTTCCACCGCCGTGTACATTGCGGAGGCGCAGCAGGAAAGGGTAATAGCAAATATTCCCAGAATCAGCAACACATGGTAAACGGATGGCTTCCAGCCCACGAGGCTGCCCACCCCAGACATAGCTGGCCCCCTTCGGAAGTTGGGAGGTAGGAGACCGCTTCTTCGCAGCTGTCTCTCGTGGCACGCCTTCATGATAAATGCCAGGAGGGAGATAATGCGCTCCAAGAAGAGGTTGAAGAAAAGGATGGTCCCAGCACACCCAAAAAGGCCATAAACGATGAGGAATACCTTTCCAGCCACAGTTGCGGGTGTGGTCATTCCGAAACCTGCGGTGTGGAGATAAATGGGTAATGTTAATGACATAGGTTTTCATGTGTAAGCTCAGGATATGTGTAATTTAACAAGGGTCTCATCTCACTGGACAAAAGGAGTGCTATCTCTAAATCAGCTCAGGCCAACATAAAACCGAGTTCTGTAAAGAGCAAAGAAGGCACCAGAAAGCTCAACAAGATGACTAAAACCTGAAAGCAAGAAAAAAATCCTTGCACATATGAACAGCAGTGTATTAACAGAGCAACACCAGTCTGTAAACGCAGGTGGAAGGATCACCGAGCCCAAACCTCTTCAAGGTGGGATGAGGTGAAGAGACCACTTCACTGCTCCCATATGTGCCAGCCCCGCATGACCTGATGGAAAGTTTAAGCTTGCTGTTCACAAGTTGTAACCCAGTGTAACACTTCTGTTATAGAGGTCCAATTATATAATTCCTGCTGAGAAGAGGCAAGTTTTCAGGCTGTATAACTCACCTCCCATATATCAAATATTGTTTTAAACGTAACAGCATTTTAAAGTCTTATCCAAATCCCAACTGCAACTAGACCACCTGGTATCATCACAGAGGGAAGGAAAAGCCATCACACTAGAGAGCTGCCTGGCAGACTGGGAGCATTAGGAACTCTCAGACTGATAATTACACTAGGGAAAAACACTGCTGCGAAGTTAAATAGAAAAATCAGAGTATAAACACTCGGGGAAGATGCAGCAACAATATTAATTCACCTCTTCTTTTTAAGAATTACTTATTGTAATATTACTTATTATTATGACATTACTCATACGCATAATTTTATGAACAAGCAGTAATATCTTGTAGCTACAGATGGTTAAATAACAGCAAAAGTGATCTTAAATTTGCATGCAAATAAATACAGTAAGTTCACTCCGTGTTATTTGCTGATAGCAGTTGTATTATGGAAATGATTTACATATATTTCACATACAATCTCAGGAAGATGCTTCTGAAACTCAATTCTGCAGGTATTGCCCTTGTTCTACTACTCTTCCCTGTAAGAACACCTGGTGGTTGAGTCAAAAAACACACTGACAGGATCGAGGTGACTGCTCATGTCCCATGAATAAGTAACTGCATGTAATCTAAACTAATGGTTTGTAAAAAATCCACATGCTGAAATTATTGTTCCACAAAAATACTGAGCAAGTAACATATTCAAGGAGGTAAATACCAATATCAGACCACATAAATAAAAGTTTGTAAAGAAAAAGGAGCTACTTCTAGCATAGAGCACAATGACATAATTATAGATCATAATGAAATCATTAAATCCAGTTTATTACCATGATGCACCTTCAAACAGCAACAGGAAAATATTTCCTACATATAATGAATTGAGATTGCTGCTTGAAATCTACTGGTTTATTTTTGCAATGGCTGTATTTTTCTGGGTAGTTTACCTGTGCTCCCTTCCTACTTCACTGACAGAGAATTTCACATGGGTTGATAAAAAATGTAAATGCTCATGACAAGTAAACTCAGATATATCTTTTCAATAACATGAAGGTGCACGGTGAAAAAGGTGGTCCTACTTTCACAAGAGATTTGGCATGCTTGGAAACAGCTGTGTGCCAGCAATTCAGACTATATTGCATAATTTGAGTTACTTGGTCTAGTGGAAGGTGTCTCTGCCCACAGCAGGGGTGTTGTGAATAGATGCTCTTTCAAGTCCCTTCCAACCCAAACCATTCTATTATTCTATGATTAGTACCTTCACAGTAAAAAGAGTATTTTCTGTAAAAGTCAGCGAAAAACTTGCACAGTATTACCAGAAAATATCACCAAAGAGGTAATTATATTTTGTTTTCTGGACCTACCGTATCTCCACTTTGTAGTGTTAAAAAAGACCACCTTTGAGCAGACCTGAAGAAGCCTGCCTTGGGGTCCCAGGTTTAACGTGGGTCATTGGGAAGCTCTTCCTAGTTCCTTCTCCTCTGTGGGGTAGACCTGTTCTTTGGATTGGGCTGGCTGCTAGCAGGAGCTGTCTCATTTAATGATGAATAGTGCTTGGCCCTCAGAAGAAGCTGGGGAGCCTGCTGCGGTTGCCAGCTAGAGATACACAGCCAGCTTGTGATGGAAAAGGCATCTGTTCGCCTCTGCCTTGTCAGCAAAGCATTTAAACATGTGCTTCACAGCAAGCATGTGAACATCACCATCAAAATAAATGGGTTTATTGTCCCACATATGGCTAGACACATTTATTAATTAGGGAAAAAAAAAAGAAGTAGTGACAGTTTGGATCAAGTTGTAAATGTGCTGAAGCTTTTCAGTATTTTCGGTGATCATTCATGAGAGATGTTGAAGTTTTATACTTCTGATGTTTTGAGATTTTCTGAAGCATAATGTCACCAAAATTCAGCATGTAGCTATGCAAGGTGAAAGGACCCATCACAGCAACGAGAGTGCTAAGAAACAGGTGAGACCAGGAAAACACAGAATCATAGAATCATTTAGGTTGGAAAAGACCTTTAAGATCATTGAGTCCAACTGTTAGCCCAGCACTGCCAAGCCCACCACTAAAACACGTCCCTCGTGTAACTTCAGGTCAACAGCTGGCTGAGGGAAGTGCACTCACATACTCTCCACACAGAGTCTTCCTTTGCCAGCCGTGTTTGTCCCTTTGGCACCACCTGGACCACGAGGGGGTTGGTCTATTCTGTACACCACCTCTGAGCTCAGCCCCTGCTCAAGGCTAAGGTACATCATGATGCCTGGATGAAACAAATTAATCCAGAACTGCCTGTGCCTCTGAGCCAGTACAAGGAAAAAAGCGCAACGGTGCTTTACATTTTTCATGGCCCTGAGACGTATTATACAGGTACCTTGGGGTTGACTTTGTGTGGCTCAGATGCAATATTTCAACCTCCCTCATGCTAATTCTGCCTCACTCTGATCCACCAGTTCAAATACAAGCTCTATGGCAGCAATAATTTCATGTGTTTGATACTTCTCCTCCCCAAACTGAATCAGTAGAGATGAGCTGATAAAAACTCTCTTCAGCAGCCTCTCATGAGTAAGTGCTGGCAATAAATAAGACCCTCATCCTGACTTGTTTAACAGGTTCTGTGGTTAAAATTCTGCTCTTCTGGAGTTTAAATTACTTAACCTGGTGATGGATTCAAGAGTTAGTACAGCTGGGCAAACTCGTGACATGCTTCCTGTTGTTCTTGCTCTCTTCTACCTATTTTCTTACAGGTAAAAGAGATAGTTGATGCCAGAAGATAAAAAAGAATAGCAGCTTTAGTACCAATGAGCTCTTCTTTCAGGCCAATTGCTTTGTCTTACTATAGTTTGAGATTAAAAAGCTTGCCAGTTTTCCAGTAAAGATGTATTTCTCCAGAGATGGAATAAAGTTTTAGTCACTTCAAGAACTACACAAAAAAAAGTCTTCCAGCCTTTACCATGGCATAATGTGTCCCTGCCTCTCTCAGGCACTCCAGTTCTTCTTATGCAAGTGTCCTGCTATGGGACTTCACTCACACAGCAAGTCAGCACATAATTTTACATCCTAGAGTGAAACAGCACAGATCATCAGTGTAGCATCACCTCTACATAAATATAATGTAGCTACATTTAAAGGAATAAAAGAACCTAAAATGGTTGAATACACCTTTTTAAACAAATGATTCCTCAGAAATAAACAATAACAAGAACAACTATAACCAGAATTCTGCTTCCAGAGGGAAAGAATTTCTTGCAACACAAAGACTAAGTTCTTGCAGGATTTGTCCCCAAGAGATGGGGGTTACAGAACACAGACAGAGAAAGAAAGAGCAAGCAATTTTGTTTCACATCTGTTCCACGTTTGCTTTACTTCACAGCTTTCCAACAGCCCTGGTTGGTCTTTATTGACTAACATGTAGGAACTAACACCAAGGAAGAAAACATCCTATTCTGAATTCCAAGTTTGGGTTCTGGTGCTTTCTTCAACCCTTTTCCACCTGTTGGCATTTCATTACTATTTCCCCTGAGAATCATACCTGTATATTTCACAACTGCCTCTCATCTATTCTATAGCTCCTCACCACCTAACATTCAGAAACAGTTGCCTTGGATACAGGGTCACAGCTGAGAGCTGACAAAACTGCTGTATCCAGTGCTTTTACCCAAGGAATGAGACTACTACAAGTCAGTTCTTCCACCTGGCTTTGCATTTTCAGACTACAAATTAAAAACTTACTTTCCCTTTAACATTCTTTCTCAGCCCGCTTTACTAAAATACTGTAAATCTTTTTAGAGCTTTTCCACTGCAAATCCTTTAATATCAAAGTTGCTCTAAAAATCCCATTTGATCTCATTTAGATTAGTGCTGGAAACAGCTCCTGAACAGTAGCAGTCTGCCTAGCACTGCATGAATTAAGACCTTTTAAGTTGGACCTATGCGATGTCTGAAGACATGAGGTACAACTGCAGCTTTTAGAGCTGGCCTAACCTGTATCATATACAAGCTCGTAGTCCTTGGTGACCCATGTACTGAGCAGATATTCCATGGAGAAAATGCTGAGTGACTATGCAATTAAGAACTGACTCCCATAAACATTCTACCCATTGATCGACCCATTCACCCATCCACCCTTGGTCATACCCATACACCAACTCAACATGAATAAGCAGGCAGTTTCTGGCATTTCCTAACTTTCTAAAAGTTATTTTAGAGACATTCCTTTAACATGCGGAACAGACTTGTTGTTCCCAAAGCCTACAGTAAATAGGTGGTCAGAATTCCTGTAAATTTGCTGTGTGAACCAGAGTGACCTAAACCAAGTGCGGGGCTTTTTGGGTTTGTTTGTTTTCCTAACTGAATGTTCAGTATATAAAAAAGTGCATACACGCACCCAGAGACTTTGGGAAAAGATGCCCAGTCTATTCAGTGACCTGAAACACCACCATGATAAACTTAATGAATGTAGTTAAAACTCATCCAGGTCTCTGCTGTTGCTCCTTGTTTCATCTCCATCTGTGAAATATTAGTGAGGTGTTTGAGATAACTGCTACTAAAAAGGAGCAACGCTGGCAGAACAGAACCAGGAGATGATTAATTGAACATTAAGGAGTTTAAAGGAGCTGCAGGCAATTATTAAAGGCTTTCCACAGCACCAGTTTTATTCTGTTTACACACAGCTGTGATCAGGTTATTGGTTATCCACAGCACTGCAATGCGTAACATCAGTGAACACCAGAATCAATCACCCTCAGCATTTCTCTGCTGGACATGATTTAAACCACAGGCTAAAAGGTCACGGCCACAATATTCATTCTTCTTTAAAGTACATTGGTTTTAAAAAGGGTTAATAGAATTGTAAGCCTAAAATAACCCAAGCTTCCTTAGGAAAAAAAAGTGATTAAATTTGCAATGATGGCATTCAGTTGGTAACAGTTGTTAGTTACCAGGTGCATTTGAAAGGTATGAAAAGAGACTAAGAGGTAACAATATTTTTCTGTAGAAATGAATGACAAAGATGAACCTAAAATTATTCCCAGCTGCAACTTGGGTGAGGACAAGAGACAGGGCTGGGCAAGTGCACATGCCCAGGGCTGGGAGGCAGAAGAGCAACTGCATCAGGGCAGAGGTGCTGGGACTCCCCAGCTTCTCTGGCAACCTGTGATTTCCACATGTGGGCAAGGGGCTTGAACTCCTATGGGCATCCATGGAGGGCAGTAGGATGTTATGAGAGGCTGCCTCGAGGGAACAATGCAAGAGGTTCCTGCAACAGAGAATGGTGTGATGAAGAGGGCTGTAGAGGTAAGCAGAGCTGCTGGTGGCTGTGGTCCAGGGATTGAACAGAGCAGTTGTGCTCTGGAGAGGAAATTTTGGAGGAGAGGTGGTGATGAAGGACCTCTTCTGCTAGAAAGGCAAAAGGGGCAGCAACTGGAGGATAAGAAGCTGCAAGGAAATCTGCCTCATGAAATCTCCTCAAGATGGGAATGTGAAGCTCGACTCCAGACACAGAGTATTTACCTGCAGAGGTGCTGCTGTGTGGGGCTGACACCTGGCCATGTCAGCAGGCAGGTGAAGAGGGGACCCCATGCCTCAGGAGAAGCTGTCTTGGGTGACAGAGCGGGAGCAACATTTTTAGGGTGAAGGATATGCTGGCCCTGAGAGGAGTATCACCTTGATGGGGTCTAAGGCTTTGGGGGTGCCCCCTGAAATACCTTAGGGAAGGAGAGAGGACTAACCTCCTTCAAAACCTGGCTGCTCCTGAACGTTTTTCTCCTCCCTGCAGCAGGTTTCTCAAGGGTGTTTTTCTCCGCTGAAGCATTCTAGTTGAGCATTCCAAGAAAGACCTCAGTTTCTAGTGGGTACTCAGCAGGCACATTTGTCAGCTCAAGTGGCCTAACCTTTGTAAATTTGAGTGATAAATGACCCTTAAAAAGATAAGCGCTGGGACTTCAGCTTCACCAGCAGCAGCAGTACTCTTGATCTTTTCATTCACCAGAAGCAGGCAAGCCTTTTCCCTCAGTGGTACTGCATGTGCCTTTTCTGTGTACAGCACGTGAAGAAAGTGCAAAGACTAACTAAACAAGTCCACCCTTGCTCGCTACTTAATGCCACTATCCTAAAGATATAGCCCAGTAAATACATAAGGAGGTCTGGCCAAGCTTCTTTGGCACAGAACCAAGCCCAGGAAGAAGCAGAAGTGTCTCTAAATCAGTTTTATGGTTCCCTGGCTGGGGCTGGCTGCTCCTTTATATACCTTGTACAAGCAAATGGGGACTGACTCGTGCCAAGTCACCAGTGTTGCCAGCTGAGCAGCAGCTCTGGCCCGTGGTCTTGCTAAGCAGTAGCCCCTGAAGAGGGAACACATGGGAAGAGTCACAGGCTTGAGGCTCAAAATCTTTGACAAGCTTATGTTCAGGTTTTTTAGCTAATCCATCCTACTGCAGCAGAACATGGTTTCTAAAGAGGGAGAGGGGACCTCTTCTAAAAGGAGATGATAGAGAATGAAGCTCAGGGAAGAATGAAAATCAGGAGTATGAATTCAAAATAGACAGAGAAAAAGAAAGTCGATTCTTGCTGAATTGACTGAATAGAGATGGAGGTGACCTGTGGTGTGACAATATTCCTTTTCTATTATCATATTGTTCACAAACTGTCTTTCAATACTTAGGGTTTTATTGTTCTTATAAATAATATAATCTTCTTCTGTGCTAAATTCTTGGGGCCAGTCTCTGGTTTACAGTCATAAAAATCAAGACTGAAATTATTTTCTTCATTATATGCTTTCTTGGACAAATCTTAAGCAAGATGATGCTAAATCCCCTCTTGTTTTGTCAGTTACTCTATCCCTTGGCACAGCTGGATTACTCTAATGGCTCGTTAAGACAGAGAGAATAGGGGTTAGTGTTGCCTAAATTAGTGCTAAACCACCTCCCAAAGGAAAATGGGATGAGAGCAGGGTGTTCTTGCAGCCTGTCTCTTTGTGAATTATCTAAACTAGTCCAGAGCCGCTTCTTGTGGCTACCTCCACACTCGATGATTGCAGGGTCCTTTCTCTGGTTTGTTTTCTTTCCTTATCCTAACAGCTGGGGAAAACCACTTTGCTATAATCTTTTCTGAAATGGTGGTAGTGTTAATAATGGAAAAATATAGCCCACATGCCCCTTGGTTACTAAAGTACGTTATATTACTGTGGAAAACGTCTCCCTTATCTCCCCTAGAAGATAAGGGTCTTCAAACTCTTGCATTAACAGCTGTTGGGGCGGTG